CTGCGCCTCTGGTCGGATGAGACCCATTCTTGATTCGGTCGCTAGCCAGGACTCTCTTTGTACTGCCTTCCATCACAATATCACTCTGTCTCTAACCATTGACTACAGTGATCACGAGGTCCCCATCCAAGAAGTCTAACGCGACCTAAGTGATCGAGCGTCCTGGTTCGAGTTTTTATACTTTAATATATATATGTATATATATATATATATACATCACCTGCTTGTACGCAAGCTGGTTGCCAACGCAAAAACAAGAATAACAGAGCATAGGTTTTTAGGATGCCTAGCAGAGTAAATGGGAGGGGGGAGAGGGAAATAGTTAGGGCGAATAACGAGAGTAACAATTTTGTTTCACCCTATACTTCTGACTTTTTTGCGTTTGCGTTTATTGTTGTTTTTTGTGGCGCACGAGATTTCAGCAGGCAGGCCGTACAGCATTCACACCACTGACTTCTATTCTGGGCCATATCTATCAGTGTCTCTAACCAACGACAATCTTCCTCATCCCCAGATCCCCAACCTGGAAGACGAGCTGCATTAACCGAGGCCAAAACTGAAGCCATCTTCTTCATACATCTAGGCCATGACATGATCTGACCGCCGCGGCGCTTATTTCAGCCTTGCCCGGCACGTGCAAAGAGAGCACGGAAGGGTTTCCGACAGGCAGGCATATGCAAAACGTGACGACGCCATCGGATGCGGTGTGAAGCGATTACTTCTGTTAAAAAACAACTATCAGTACCCAACACACGACGATGAACCTCGTCATTGCTCATCCACATCACGACAAGACTGCACCTCGACGTGGTTTGATGTATTGTGCACCTCAGTGGCCCGACGAGCTACACACGATGGCTTTTGTCAAGCCGCAGATCTAATCGTCCCCGGAAGTTCGAAGGGTAGAGGTCAGACGAAGTTTAGTCTCCAGGTTGAGGTTCAACTCGGAATAGCGTCTCAGTCGGTGAAATTGTAGAGAAACACTAGAACGGTAGTCCGACCGAGGCATTGGATATCTGACAAGTCAGTAGCGCAGATGGAGAAAAAGGGGCAAATCCCAACCGCCCGGGATCAAGGTAGAGTTAGGTGGGGTCTGCAACGTCAACTCAAGAAAGACCGTGAGAACTGGTGGGCAACGGTAGCCAGTGAAATGGAAGTAGCAGCTGCATCAGGGAATAGTCAAAGACTGTTCCAACCGGTACGCAATACGAGAGGTCGGCGAACCACGGTTAGTGAAATAGTCTGCAACAAAAGTAGACAAGCTATTCACAATAGGGAACAACGGATTGACCGGTGAGTGGAGTACTTCAACGAACAGTTCAGCTGGCCAGGTGCTAACCTCCGGTGTAACAGACTCCGTGGGCAGTGTCATCTGAACATCCTACTGCAGCAGAAGTTCGTTCTTGCATCAAAGCCCTGAAGAAAGGAAAAGCAGCAGGGCCGGCCGGGCTTCTTTCCACTCTTTTCAAGATGGGGAGGGGGCGATGACCTCGTAGACTCCATTACTGATATACTGCGTAACATCTGGTCACACGAGCGCATTCCATCATCCTGGAGCGAATCACTGATCGTTCCAATTTTTAAAAAGGGATCTCGTAACGACTGGGTAAACCACTGTGGAATAAGTTTGATCCCAATCGTCGCCAAGTTATTAGCCTCCATCATACTTCGACGTCTGACACCGTTTAGGACGGTGGTGACGTCACCAAATTATCACCTTGGGGGACGTGTTCGAACCCCACCACCACCACCTGACTTTCCCCTCGGCAGCCCCTTGGTTGGCTACTTCCCCCTTCCTGAAAATGGTGCCATTGTGTATTCAATAGAAGGAAGTAAAAGAATAAAAAAAAGAAATATCCGCGTTCAACAAGCAGGATTTCAATCAGATCGCGGTTGTATCGATCAAATCTTCACTCTGCTTCAAGTCCTCGAGCTACGCCATAAGCACCGTCACCCAACGGTTGTCGTGTTCCTTGACCTAAAAAGAGCCTTCGACGCAGTTGATCGTGAATCCCCTATCGGCCTGCGAAGGTCAACGATGTTAACACCTTGGGTGCAACGGAGATGAGTTTAATCCCTCGGTGATTAGAGCAATTGTGACGGGAGCCCTTCTTAAGAACAAATACAACGTCCACCATACTCTATTCGGATGAACTGGATTTAGAATTCCAGACGATTTGGTATAAGGAAGTCAGTTCTCTAACAAAACTTGTACCACCGTCTTTGAAAAGGGCCGGGGAGAGCTCATCCAGGCCGGGTGATTTGTGGCGTTTCAGAAGTTTGAGCTCTCGGTAGGCGATTAAGTGTCCACAAACCATGGAGCATTGCGTACATCAGAAGATAGAGATGATGGTGTCGGTGACCAGCTGAATTATTGATGGAAGTGCTCCACCCAACGCCCAACCTCGTAGATTGTAGATTCACTCGCCATTAGTTTCGCATAAGGTTCCCCTAACGCATTGTTTTCTGTTGTCGATTGCTCGAATTAGTCGGAAAAACTTGAGTGTTACCGGAAGCAGAGACTAGTTCCATCTCAGAAGCGCTTTGTACCCACCAGGTCTTTCGGTCCTCTTTTAGGAACCGTTTCAGTTTGGTATTGAGAGTCCTGCGAACTGTGTTGTATTCATCACCTAGAGGGATATATCCGCGAGTGTCAAGCAGTTCTAGAGAACGTACTTATTCTCAGTGATTGACGGTGCATTTGTTAAGGCCACATGCTGTGGTGGCCTATTTATGCATGGTGTTACAGGTGTGGGCCCACTGGCTGCCAACGTTGGAGGATGACAGACTGTCTAGATCAGTAGCTAATGTGTTTTGGTAGTCGATAACTACCTTTGGGTAGGTCAGTTTAATCAAATCGAGTCTTCCCACGTGACGTTGATGTTTTCCACCGAAGCGCAGAGAGAATTTCGCGCACACGAGTGCATGATCGGAGCTATGACACGTGCTTCAGATGAATTTGCGGTTTCTCCATTGCTAACTGATGATAATATGTGAGTCCAAAGTTGACCAGACGATGGAAGTCGTCAGATAGCACATTGGCTCCGCGGTCGGCTCAAAGTGGTTTTCGAAAGGAGAAG